TGAACAGGGCCAGCCTGCCATCAGAACAAAGCAGTGGGAGCAGAAGCAAGCCAGATTTAAATGAGTTAATCTACAGAGAAGCCTTTCTCTGAAGGTTATTACTTAATATAAAACCAGCTGTCTCCTCCTTTGAGTGCCTTCCCTCCAGTTAGGCTGCATGGAGAGAAACGTGTCTGGTCCAAGAGAACCAGAGAATCAAGCCACTGCAAGGAGCACGAGGCCTCTGGAGTCCTGCTGTCGCCTGGTTATGGTGCTGACCCACTCTCCCTCCAGAAGGTCCAGCCCCACCACACTACCTGCAATCTATCCTGACCTTGGCCGCAGGGAATCCCAGGCTTTGGCATCTGCTGGGTCTAGCACCCTGACCCCTCCTGATGCTAGGCACTGAGTTGTGCTGATTCGACCAACCCCTATACTCCAGCCTCTCCAGGCCAGGAATGGCCACGATGCCCCTGCTTCTTCTGCCACCATCAAAAAGCCAGGTTCTCACTGCAGAACCCAGCCAGTGGCGGGTGCCTGCTCCCCGCTGATGGGATGAGGGGCTCAAGCCAATTCCCTTCTCTTATAACGAAATCCAGCTCTTCAAAAGGGACCACATTTGAGTTCAGTCCTCTGAATGAAACCTCTCTCCTAAAGGAAACATCTGGTGTGTTGGTGTGTTTGTGTGTCTATGCGTACACATGTGCACACATCTTTCCATACTCCTGGACACACGCAGAGCATCTTCATCCCCAGGGAGGTGACATCGGAGGCGAGGGCCCTAACGTAGCTGTCCTCAGCACGGAGTTGGCTGTGTGTTAGCATCAGTGGGTGGATGAGGGTGCTTTTAAAACTTCCAGTGCCCATCATAACCACCAAGTCTAACTCAGTTGGTCGAGGATGGGGCCTGGGCATCAGGATGTTCTGAAAAGCATCTCAGGTGATTTTAATGTGCAACCAGCGTCAAGAACCACTGATTTAGAGAGAAAAAGGCAGAGACCACCAGCTGAGGTTCCCAGTGTACCCAGAGGGAGGGGAACATGCAATTTAAAAGCAATTCCTGCCCAAGCCCCTTCTTCAGGCAACATAATCTCTGCAGCCTACCGAGCAACCATCTGAAGAGCATGTTGAATTCTGGTGCCACGTTTCATTCAGATGATGCTTCTTTAACAGTCTGAGCCTGTTTCCCCGACTATTAGTAAAAAGGCTACGCTAGATACATCTGGTTCACTTCTCCCGTCTCCCATTTTCCAGCTTTATGCATCTCCTTCTCTCTTCATCCCTCATTTAAATGCAGACTGTTTAGAGATTTGCCTTTCTACTTCTCCAAAAATGCTTTATGTGTTGCCTTGAAATTAGATCTGCGTAGTGCCGGCCCTCTGAGTAAACAACACCACCGAAACCATAAGCTCTATAATCCAAGCCAAGGTATGTAGATGATGTGAGATTTCATAATACTGGAGTATTCATAAAATACTCTATGCGTGGGACTGGAGCTAATGATTCCTCCGGGGAAAGCTCGTGCAGAACCACACAGATCCTGCCCCCTGAATGCCCAAGTCAGACCAGCAGCTCTCTCTGCTGCATAGCAACCACCCACTATGATGCTTGTCACTTTTGATTCCCTCCAAGCTTGCCTTAATATCTACTTATCAAGTAGAAAATTCATTTTGGAACCATTTTCAGAGCAAGTATAAAGCCATCCTTAAGGACATATTAGCTACATTACTTTAATCCAATGAAATACATAAATCTCTCACTCTGCAATAAACTCAGCACTAGGAGGGCAAGCAGTCTCTCAGATGGGCCTACTTGGATGAAAAATAGTGCAGAAATATACAAATGACCAGGGTATGTGGCAGAATTCAGAACAAAGCAGGTGTCTTCGGTAATCATCTACAATGATTTAGTTATGGAAAACACCAAAAGATTTTTTTTATATGTTGTTTCAGAAACCTTTAACATCCAGCAAGCCCAGATCACACATGAGTTCCAGACCTCCATAGTCAACTGGTCATCTCTACCCAGCCACCCACAAGACCCTCAAACTCAGCACGTCTGCATCAGAACTCATCACCTGCCCTCCTACTCCTGTATTTCTGATCTCAGTTCACAAGGTCATCATCCACGCAGTTATCCAATCAGAAACCTGGTAGTCATCCTCGAATCCTATCTTCTCTTAACCCTCTCCCTACTCCTTCCAAATCCTTAATTCCTCGAGATTCCATTTTGTGCATACCCTCATATTTGTCTCTTCCATTCCAACCCACAGCCCCTGTTTTAATGCACTGCTTCCCAGACTCCTCCAATGGCCTCCTAACTGCTCTCCCTGTGTTGACTCTTGCCCCCTCCAATCTATCCTTCTAAGTTCTGCCACAATAATATTTACGAAACAATCCTGAACACGTGGCTCCTGTCATTAAAACCCCTCAATGGCTCCCTACTATCTACAGGACAATGTTCAAAGTCCAAAGCGGGGTATACAAGGCCCCCACAATCTGACCTCTCCAACCTTTGGTCTCCCACGCCTCACCTGGAACCCTCTGCCCCAGTCAGATGAGCTACGTGGAATTCCCAGCACACCAGCCTGCCTACCATCTCCTTACCTCTGTTCGGGCTGCTCCTCCTGGTTGGAATATCCCTCTGCCTTTCTGTCCCCAGCAAAATAAGCTCATTGTCTGGACTCACTTCCTCCATGAAACCTTTTCTCACACTCAACCCTAATGGAGGAACTGGGCAGCCCTTGAGCCCCTCGTCAGACTTCTCTCACAGCATCTACATTAGTGCACTTATTTAGTAACAAACTGTGAGCTTCTGGAAGGTAAGAACTGTATCTTACCTGTTCCTTAGCTGTGCCCCCAGAAGCAGAGGAATTTAACAAATATTGGTTAAATGAATGAATGTTTCAATGACGGCATTCTAACAGTGGTTCCAAAAGTACTTTCTTTACAACTCATAGACTTTGCTTTTGGCTGCTTATGATGTGGAACTGCCTCTTATTCCACTTGTAAATCATTGGCAGAGAAACAAAAAATAAATCAGTACCAGAGGTACATATTACCTTCTTATCCCCTGAGAAATCATTTCTTTGTTCATTATTCCCAAAAGAAGGGTCACACGTCAAGGTACTCCAAGAGCTCATAGTGAGAAACTGTTACAATGAGTTATTCCCAATTCCTGGCCCTCCCTGCTTTTAAATGCCCTCTCCCTGGGGTTACTACTTGGGTGAGGCACAGGGTGGAGACACTAATTAAAGCGGAATGGCTGTGGCATAAATCAAGATGGCTTATGAAGTCCACATCCATGCCCCCAGCCCATGTAGATGGAAAATAACACGGAGAATGAAAACTGACTTCCCGGGCTTTGTGGTTTCTAAGCTTCTGAGGAAGTCACATAAAAATAAAGGCACCACTCTCGATTCAGCAGCAGGTAACTCCTGTACCCAAGGCAGAAGCACTGGAAGGCTCTGGGCTCACCCAGAATTCCACCTAAAATGTCAAATCTCTGCAAAGTGGCTGCAACTTAATACCCAGCAAATACCCTCTTCTCCGAGTGCTGATTTCATATCAGAAAATGAGCAATTTAAATAAATGTTTCATTAACATAGTGTTTTCCTGCTTGATGCTAATGCACTTAGAGTAATTTGTTTTCACAAATTCTCTTCCACAGAATCATCTGATGCAATCCTCCACAGGACAATCTGAAACACTTTGGGCCCCTAACAGACAATCCAGGGAACCTAGAAACCAACCAAACAATAAGCAAAAACCCTTACACAAAAGAGCTATCGAGACCCATTCGTCTGGAACACACAACACATCTGCTGCAGGACAGGACGGACTGTCCCCACCACCTTGGTGGCGCTGGGTTTGTACTGATGGCAGCAAAGCATCACTCACCGGGCACTGTTGGAAGGTGGCTTATTCAGGAAGACTGCAGGGAGTGTGACATTTTGTTTTGAGGCCCTACAAGGCTTGTTTCTGCTCTGCTCTGCTTATCTGTCCAGTGATTCTTGCTATGTGCTGATTCCAAACCCCAAAAATTTCAAGGCTATGTCTAACATCTTTTATTAATAGAAGCTCTTAAAAATATCATAGCACAATGCTCAGATACACTCCAAACATGCAAAAGCAGGTACCATATAAGGGTTTGTTCCCCCAAACTTTGTGAGACACAGGGGAAGGGTTTGATCATGATGATATGGGGAGCAGGCTGGATACCATGCTAATGAGAAATCATCTTTTGGGTGGATTCAGCCACATCAGAAAGGTTCTGTGTGTGCTATAATTCTGCAGGTGAAATCTTGATTTGGTTCTGTTACACATGGGGAGCAAAAATAAAACTCAAGGAAGATGTGAAGCACTTAAGCAGTGAACCGTATGGAATTTGTGGGTGCAGGTGCCATGTGTGTGACAGAGATCGGAAGACCCATCACAGAGTGTAGAAATAACACTGGTGGAGTTAGTATTCCAGGCAATACCACATATGAGCTACAAGGCATCAGACAAATGACTTATTCTCTGAGCTTCATCTCCTTCTTATAAAATAAAGCAACAACAACAATAAAACAATAATAATACTCGTAGCAGTGGCGGCAGCTACCGTTTATTGAGCACTTACTATGTAGCAGGTGCTGTTGAAAGCACTTTACAAACACTCATTAAGCACCATCTCACTCAATCCTGAGAACACCCTGAGAGGGAGACATTATTAACTCCAGTTTACGGAGGAGGTGCAGAGTATAGTAACAGGCCCACGGTCACCCAGCTAGAGTGAGCATAAGGTCTCAGTTCACAACCAAGTCCGCCTGACCGCTGCATCCCTTGGAAATAATAACTATCTCAAATGACCACTGCAAATGCTATGAGATAATATATATACGAAAAGAGCTCTGAATGCACTACGTGACGTCAGTCATGGTTAACAGAGCCAGCTCCCGGCAGCCTTCTCCTTCCCTTGGATTAGGGACTCGACCATCCAAAGGCGGTCGGGGAAGGGGGTCCGTCCCCCTGGGCACTTACTTTCTCAGGACGGCGATCTCATTCTCTAGACTGCTTTCTTTGCCCTTTAGCGCCTTCTTGGGGATGCACTTCACCGCAAAGAGTTTTCCAGTCGCCTTCTCTTCGGCCAAGACCACTTCCGAAAACGCCCCGCTGTGAACAAAGAGGGAGGAAAAGAGGCAGCTCAGATTCAGGAGTTTCAGGTTCCACAATGGCTCCTCCGATCCCACTACCAAAGTCTGAACAATAATAACAAGAACGACCACCAGCATTATTGCTATTTTTTTATCCAGCATCACTCCCGACCAAATATTGTTATGCAAACAAGTACACACAGGCAAATGCGCCCTTGTGCAAAGGGACACGTGGATGTCCACATGGGTTTGGCCACCTCCCAGTGCCACCTCCACCCCGCAGAACAACGTTGCAACAGTCACTTTGGAGCAAACATGGAGGTTCCCAGGAAAGTTCCTGCAGAGAAGGATCATGTCCATCTGAAGTTGTCAGCACCCCCACCCTGATGAGACAAGTAATACTAAAATTTCTACATTCCTCACGGGGTGCCCTTTCATCCCAAGAAAATTTCAGAGCACTCTGCAAACATTTAATTAATTCTCACAGATAGGTAAGGATGTAATTAAAGTGTGAGTTGGTGCAACACGTGGCATTGACACGGGTGAATTAATTGGTAGGGGCATGCAAGTCTTCAATGAGCAGCTTGTTTCTTTTTTAAACCAAACAAACAAAAACACACACAATGCCCTGAGTTGGGGAGACTTTCCTATCTGAAAATATAAATTTAACTCTACGAGGGCAGAGCAACAAACTGAAAATATAACCAGGATAGTTGGGTCCAGAGAGCCCATTTCTCCGGAGAGGTCCCCTGTGGTCAGCGAGCCCCAGAGCCAGCGCCTCAATGCCACCTTGTCGTCCCCCCCGCCCCCCC